GGGGGGGGGGGGGGAGGAGAGGCACGAAGTTATTTCTGTTTGTGCCCTACAGCTCCCGGAAGACGCAGCGGCAGACAAACTTACAGCCGGTACCAGACCCTGGAGTTAGAAAAGGAGTTCCTCTTCAACCCGTATTTGACACGGAAGCGACGGATTGAGGTCTCTCACGCCCTGGGACTGACCGAGAGACAAGTGAAGATCTGGTTCCAAAACAGGAGGATGAAATGGAAAAAAGAAAACAACAAAGATAAGCTGCCGGGAGCCAGAGACGAAGAGAAAACGGAAGAAGAAGGGAATGAGGAAGAGGAAAAAGAAGAGGAGGAAAAAGAAGAAAGCAAGGACTGAGTTCTCAGCCCCTTGAAGTCTCGTTTTATGGCAGATGATAAATCGAGATGTTTACGACGGTCATTTGCTTTTATAGAGTATAGAATGGAGAGGCTCACACAGCAGTAACTACCTGTCAAACAGTTGTAGCCTTTTTTATTGTCATAGAAACTTCCCCTACTTTTTCCCCCCCCCCCCCCCGAGCCTTTTTTTTTTTCCTTTTTCTTTTTTCCTCCCAGTTTTTGTCTCGCTTTTCCTTTTTTTAATAGCGGCGTTTTTAGCTCCATAAATCCATACTTGGCTTCAGCGCAGCGACGGTGTACAGGAAGGGGGTCAGCAAAACCCGTTCCCCTCTCATCCCCCCCCCCCCCGCCTCCTCTCCCCAATCCAAAGGCCGCAGCGCGTCCCCGGCTGCACAAAATGTATTTATTTGAACAGCTTTGACTTTGCCTTTTTCCGCTTGGTTTTGCCTCTCGCGAATGACCCCGGGGGGGTGTCGGAGCTGCAGCCGTCTATGGGGGCCGATGGCCGTTCCTACAAGCCGTTTATCACCCATTTGAAGGCGAGATAAAGGGGGGGGGGGGGCTCGCAGCCCACCTGGCAGCGTCCTCACCTCCTCCCCATTGCTTTCCCGTTGGGTTCCCGTTGGGTTCCCATTGCGTACCCACAGAGTTCCTATTGGGTTCCCAACGCGCTCCCATTGGGTTCCCATTGCTTTCCCATCGGAATCCCATCGGACTCCCGTCGGGTTCCCATTGGGTTCCCATTGCGCACCCATAGAGTCCCTATTGGATTCCCATTGCGTTCCCATTGGGTTCCCATAGCGTTCCCATTGTGTTCCCATTGGGTTCCCGTAGGGCTGAGCGTCGCAAACGCCCGTATTATTTCTCCTGCTTAGGACTCAATAGGCCGAATTTCGCCCCCTTTCCCCCCCCGTTTCACCACCACCCCGACCCCCCCAGGCGCTGTTTGTCCTTTGGCTGTGTGAGCACTCGAAATTCTTCGTGTACTACCTAAAGGGAAAACCTGCAATAATTATCAGAGCTAATATCAACAAAAGGGGCTGACGCATCCTAGATTTCACTCGCTCCGAATTTATTTAAGAGAGAGAGCCGTGTTTCTGCCCTGATGCAAGCTACTAAGTAGCATAACATAATCATAAAATAATAATAATATTAATAATAATAATAATAATAAACCGACCAACCTTGTATTGTACTTTATCACTACCTATAGAAGGAGTCATGCTTTGGAAGTATTTGTAATGCGGTTTTATTGTCGTTTGTTGCTGCTTATTTTCTCGAGATGATAATTAAGAATAAAAAAGGGAAAAAAAAAAAGAAAAAAAATAATTAAAAAAAAAAAACGTAAAAAAAAATATAAAAATAAAAAATCCCAACAACTGAAACTGCCTAGTTGAGAACGCACAGCATTGTATTCTTTTTATTGTGCTTATAAAGTAGTGTAGGACTAAATTGCACTGAATGTATAGTTATCTATTTGTCTTGACTTATCTGTTAATGCGACATGCTCGAAACGAACAAGCAAAAGCGAAAGAAAAGAGAATCGTCCTTTGTTTTATGTAAAAGCATCGTTCTGCGTGTGCCACCTCTGAATGTAGCAAATTCCAGCCAGAAGGAAAAAAAAAAAAAAAAAAGAAAAAAAAA